TCTAAGGAGGATTTGAGGATAGGAGAGGCACAGCTTTGTCCCCCTTGAGATCAAGCCTGGCCTGGCAGAGTGAGGTGCTGATGGGCATGGAACACTGCAGGGACATCCGAGCAGGCAGCGTGGGAGGCACAAGATGCTGAGGAAATGGCTCAAGATGGGGCAGCAGTCCAGGTTTCCTTTAGACATGATAGGACCGCATGTTCTATTCCTTGGGTTTATCCCTGTTGCTGCTGGCAGGCGGTGAGTGGAGCCATCCCGGATTGCTTGCACTGAGGGAAGGTGACGCCGAGCCCTGCTAGGCGACCGGGTGCTCAGGAAGGAAGGGGAAAGGGGCTCCTGTGACAAGGGGAGGAGGAGACCCAGCCATGGGGAGCACGCAGAGGCTGTCCTCACCCTCATGACAACCTAAGAGCATCTACGGGAGCACTGCTTTCCCCTATGGAGTTTTATGCTCCTCCAGGGCCATCAACCCCACCGACACCAGCTGGTGCCTGGGACAGAGCCCTCCCCATGGGCTGTGACCACACAGCATCCCCCCGAGCATCTGGCACTGATCCTGCGTTGCTCCCGGGGCTTCTTCCAGCAGGGAAGCTCCTCTGTTCTGATTCAACCATGCATAGCAAATCAACTGCTGGAAAATAAAGAGCCAAGCTGCTTTTTTGGCCTGGGATGTGATAAGAGCGGTTGTTAAACCTTTCTTGGAGTCCAAGCAGCAAAAGGAGCCACTGCCGCATAGAGCCTTGCAGCAGGACGCACCGTTCCCGGGAGCAGGAGGGGGAGGCGAGTCCCGGCTGGCAAACATTGGATGAAAACTGTCTATTCCAGAATTGTGTTTCACTTGTGTGTTTCAACTGCCTCAAGAAAACCACGCGCTCCTCTGCAGCTGGTGCCTCTGCTGATGCACGGGGAAAAAATAGCGGGGAGAAGATTAAAATTGAACTGGCTTGGAGTCAGTGTAATCAGGGAAAATATCGCAGTGATTTGCTATTATAATTTTCAATAACAAACTGCAGGGCTCCTGCTGCACTAATAATAACGGGCGGAATGAGGTGGGGAAAGAACCTGGTGCCATGGGGTGTTTGTGTGTGTGTGTGTTTGTGGGAAGCACTTGCAATTTTCCCCATCTCCTAATTTTGAAGAGGTATTTTTAGTGCCTATTGCAAAGAGCTTTACATAAACACATCTGCTGGAGTTTTTGCTTGGCAGTGTCTTTACAACCTTCCTTTCTGCCCCTTCCCTCTCCAGGGACAAAGCAATGCTTCGACCGTTTTCTGTTACAATCAGATGAGCAAAACAGAAAATCAAAGGGTTGTTTTGACAGCACCAAAAGGCTTCTTAGCCCAAAGTGGTGGATTTTAGAAGAGCTGCGAGCAGCTCAGGCCACCCTAAGAGCCCAGAGCAGAAGCACATTGGAAGTGGCTGCGGCAGAGAGCCACAGGGATGCAGGACAACGGGGACCCTAACCCAGTCCCAGCCCCTGTTGTGCAGCCAAACCCTCCAGGTGAGGAAAGGAGAAAGGAAAGGTGAGATTGAATCATGTGTCCATGCGCGTGTTGCGTGGTACTCAGGAGAAGAGCATCCCTGGTGGGAGCAGCTGTGGGTGCCATGGAAGCCTGTGTCCTTTCATGGGCTGATGTCCCCAGACCCCAGGCAAGGAATCCGTCACTGGTTTAATGCTGGAACATTCACAGCTAATAGGCTCAACAGAGATGCTTTAACCTTTTTCCCTTTGGGGGCTTGGGTTGGCTGGAGCCATTCCTACATTTTCACAGGGGGCTGTAGAGATGATGGGAACGTGGAGCCTCCCAGGGCTGAAAAGGGCAAGTTTCCATATAGGCTTTCTCAGATACTCTGTCCTGAGTTTGGAAATGCTGTTGGTGCAGGTCTGCCAAGTGCAGTCAGGGCTTGGGGCCTCCGAAGTGCTTGTGTATGCGGCTGTGTGTTCAAAGTAAAAGAAATGATTTAAAATACCCCAAATGGCTTGGTTAGCATGATTCAGCCCCAGAGTGCTTACACTGCTGCTTGCAAAGCAGCAGGAAAGGGCAGAGGGGCCGCAGCAAGGCCACAGAGGGCTGGGACTGCTGGAGCCTATCCTGTAGAGGCAAGGGACGACGCTGCTGCTGGTGGGAGATGGGCTGGTGGCAGCGTCCAGCACTAGGTCACTAGGAAGGAAATTTGCTTCCTTTTCTCTCCTCTTGGGATGGGTTTCTGCAAGCAAAAGGATGATTGATGGAAGGTTTATGGCAGGGGGCTGCTTGGGGCTGGGACACAGGAGCCTGCGGGCAGGGGAGGGCAGCTGCCTGGCTCCAGCAGCACTGAGGTGCCAGCAGGCAGGGTTGTCAAGTGCACACCAAACCCGCAGTGACTGCTTGTCACCGTGGGGCTGCAGGGGATGGGTGTTGCTGGGCTCAGCTCCCGGTGAAGTGCGTATCACCAAGTGCCACATTTCATGTCCTGATGTGATGGCACTTGGCCATGGCATCGAGCATGGCAGCCCCGGATGGAGGACTGGGGATGGTTTATGCCTGTGCTCCCTGAGGCAGCAGATACCCTGTGCCTTTGCCCCATCCTCTGCAAAGGCTGCTAGAATCGCTCCATGCTGAGCCTGGCACATCTCCCAGTGTCTTGCAAACACTCTGAGGGACTTCCCCGGTCTTGCATTTTCCTTGCCCACTGCAGAGAAGTGCCCTTTATCCTGCCACCCATGTGCATGGCCACCTCGTGCTCCCATACAACCACTGGTGCAAAAGCCTCCTGACAAACCTGTCAGTGACTTTCTGCCTTTCCCCAGCCAACAGGGATGTCCAGTCCCAAAGGAAGCTGTTGCTGAGTGTGGGGGGCACAGCATGGTTAACTGGCCTCAGTGGTGCCACTACAAAGTGGGGGTGATATGCCAGCCCCCCCAGGGGAGGGAGGCAGGGGTGGCATCAGGCAATGGGACTCTGCACTCTTACACCAGTCACGAAAGACAAGAACAACAGCGACGTTTTTCTATACACATATATATTCAATCAATGTCTATAGAGCTTAATGCAAGGGGATTACCAGCCAGTTTAGAATGTTCATGACTCCCAGCGAGAACTGAATCCAGCCTTTGATGGAATTGGGAGAATAATTATTTCCATCAATAGCTACTTGCAAGTCCAGGAGAAATGGTTCACCTAGCACATTGCAGGACAGGAGTCCCTCGCTGTCTCAAGGCCAACGTATTTTAACCTCAGGACCTGAAAATCCCATTAGTGGGTGCTGAGGCTGGGGTGAGAAGAACATTGTCTGCTGTTCCTGGGTTCCTCCTGCAAGGCAGCAGTGCCCACTGTGCCACCAGCCCCGGGGGACCCTTCCCACTGCTGCTGGAGCTGATTCAACCCAGACTTGCACAGGTCATTAATTTTGGGACATTTTTAATGGATCCTAATGATGGAGCCTCAGAAGACTATTCTTAAAAGGGGCTCGGGAAAGGCCACCGGCTAATTAGCTCACACAAAGACAGCAATTAACCATGTAGCTTCCTGGGTGCTTAAAAATAACACAGTTGTTGGGAATCTATTAAGCAGAGTAACAGATTTTCAAAACCAGAGGGACCATCAACTCCTGCATGTCCTGGGCCAGAAATATATCACCCAGCTTGCCCTCACTTGTACCCCTGTCACTTGTATTTGGCTGATGCACATCCTTAAACACTCAGGCATTACAAAACAGGCTCCAAGGAGTCACCTATTAGAGAAAGTGAGGGGTTGCTGAGAGACAAAACACAGCTGGAAAGCGAGGAGTGACCCTTCTTCTGCAGTTGCTCCATGTTGCTCATGGCTGGGAGGCAGCAGGATGTTCCTCTGACTGGGCCATGCCTAACCGGAGCATCACTATTGCTCTCTAACCACTGGTTTGGCCCCATTTAGCGCCATGATGTGCAGCATGCACCTGGCTCTAACCCCTTGTTGCTATCTCCACAGCTCATGTGTGATGGTCTCTGCAGCCAGAGCATCCTCCTGGCATCCCTGAGCCACTGTGGTCATGCCAATACTTGCTTTATCTGTTCAAATAATACTCTGACGCCAGAACTGTGGCATCCCTGGCACCCCTGTTGGGTATTGTTTATGGCTTTTCCTTATCTTTGAGGTAAACATCAGCAGGGACTGGAAACCCATTTATTTCCTCCCAGGTGTCTGAGCTCAGGCTCATTGGCGTTTGTTTTCTCCATTTGGCTTCTTTTCTCCATTTCAGCTTGCTTCACCCGCTGTTTCTTGGAGACCTTTCACCTCAGGCTTTGCCTGCCCTGGCTCTGCTCCTTGTCAACTCTCACGGCCTTCCCAGGGCTCTTGCAGGCACCTACCTAGACCAGTGGTTCCCCACAACTCTGCTGGGCTGCCCCAGGTTCTCCAGTTCAGGCTATCAGCAGGACCAGCTGTGTTTACTGGCCCAGCACCCTATATATGGGAGCAAGAAAGAGACCTCTTCTTTGGCTGCCCAAAGTTTCTTCCACCTGAGTGCTGGTTACAGGGACAGGATGAGAACTGTGGGGCAAGGTATTTCCAATGCAATGGCTGGTGTGGAGAATAGCATTTGAAATGCAAAAGTGGGTTTTTTTTCCTACCAGAGGGCAAACCAGTGCTGCCTCTGCAGAGCTGCTGAGCTAAAACCCACAATGCAGAGGAAGATGTCAGGGGTGCTGGTCCTGATCTGGTACCGTTGCTCCTTGCTGGTGTATTACATAGACCTCATGCTGTCCCTGCAGTACAGGGTGGTCATGGCATTTTGAGAGCTGAGCACAGCATGCTCACGATGGGATGCAGCCTGGCTTGGAAGTGGGGGCTTTCTGGAGCTTCATAGGAGTGTTTCCCACTGCAGGGCTGAGCACCATGGGCTCAGGAGGTCTGAGAGCAATCTGCAGCTCTCCTTCACAGCAGCAAGGGGATTCTCTAGTACATGGGAAACCTTCAGCCAGCGAGCCCAGCTGAATGGACAGTCCTTTATTGCTCTCTTTATGTGCTCTGGCTCCACAGTGGGACGCTCAGCTGCCTGTCGTACCCCGCAGAGGACAGACGTCCTGAGAAGCAGAGTGGCCGTGCAGTCAAGGATGCCTCCAGCACCAATGGCTGTGTGAAGGGGAAGCAGAGACGAGACCATGCACACCACAGGTCACGCAGGTACGAGCCAGGGGGATGGCAGAGGAGGCATCTGTGACTGTTTCCCCAGCCCCTATGGGGGCCTGTGAGAGCTTGGGATGGCTTCGATGGCTCTGTGTGTGTCCAGCAAAGGCATGCAATTGTGTGAAACCCCTGTGTGTGTCTGCAAGGAGAAACCTGTAGTTTATGTACACTCCACACCTCGCTCTTACAGCCTCCTTGCTGTGACCTGCCAGCATCTCTGTGTGCTACCAGGTTAACAGGGTACCCCTGGCTGGGCATCACCCTCAGCAATTACCCTCTCTGCATGCCCACATCCAGACCAGCAGCACTGGCTTCATCAGGACACAGCTTCATTATCAGTTTGTCATTAGCCCCTGACAACTTGGGAAGGGAAAAATGAATTGAATGTTGTAAATGAAGCAGCTGGGGGCCCTGAGCTCTGCCTGCTAAACTCTCTGGGATTAAAGCCTCTCCGTTTGGTTTAAGATGCTGGAAAGAAAGAGCAAGAAAGCACATTTCATATCTTCAGATTTCAGGCTAACCGGAACAATAATCTAAAGCGTGTTTTTAATTAGACTTTGATTACAATCGCAGAGAAACAATTAAAGTAGTATCAGTGCAAGGAGAAAGCTTCCACATCAAAGACAAAAGGCTTCATCTCAGGAGAGGGACAAGGGCTCTACTGAAACTGCCTGCGGCTGCATGGTCAGAAGGTCCTCTCAGTCCTCCCATGGCTGTGGCCCTGGGCAAGGCAGGAGCTGAGATGTACTGAGACTTGTGTGTGGAGTCCAAATCTGTCCTAGGGGAAAGCATGTCGGAGCTGGGGTTGAGCATCCTGACAACTGAGCAGCTGAAATGAGTGTTCAGGTCCCTGGTCTAGCACACACACCATTAGGATGTCTTTTGGCAGATGGCTGAGCTTAGCAATGAGCTGTCTTGGAAAACACATTTCCTCTACCTTAATGCAGACAAAAGACCTGCTGAGCCCAAGGTGTGCTGTATCCCCTAACAGTGCTTCTGCTGCTCCGTGAAATCCTTGAGAGGAGAAAGAGAGCAAGAAGGAGCATTTGGGTGCTCCTTGGGGTCACAGTGTGGTTCCACCTTGGATTCACTGCCCCGGCAGCGCTCAGCACGCAGCCATTCACCGTTCCCAATGGAAGCATGGGTGCGCAGTGTCATGCTGCAGAGCAGTTTTTCAGAGTGTGTTAAAAGAGCTCAGCAATTGGCTTGTCATGATAGGGTAATTTGGGGAGTCATTCAGCCCAGATAAGCAAGCGTTTGGGAGGCAGTGGCACCTGAGCGCATCCCCCGCCGTCCAAAGTGCCATTTGCTCTGCATTAGGACTTGTATTAACAACATTTGTTCTTCCCACAGAGACCTGCTCAACTTTTGGCCCGTTCCTGTAGCACTCCCCAAACATGGGGCTGCTTCCACACCTTCCCTGCTAGTGGCTGCTCCCGCTGGCAGGGCGAGAAGTGGGGAAACTGAGGCACAACCCAGCACCCTCATTTCCAACAGGGGCTTTGCAGAGTTCCTGGGGAGCTGGTTGTGCCCCCCACAAACCTCAATCCGGACCCGTGTGGGGGAGCCACCAGCTGCCCTTGTCTTTAGGGGCATTTACCATGGTGAATGAGTAGCCACAGCAGATCTGTTGCATTTTCAGCCTCTGAATTAATTTAACCACGGTGCTTGCTTTGCATTGAAACGTAACATCGCATATGCTTAAAAAGAGAAATTGATTTACGGGAGGCTTCTTTTCCCAAGGTTTAACGACTGTGTAAGAGATGCATATCTCATTAAATTACCATAGCATCTCAATAAACGCATCTATATTTCTAATCAATTGCTATTTAACATATGTCAAGCCTTTTATTAGCGCCAGGCGCATCTGGTAGCGATAATTATTGTATGCAAATGAAAGGGCGATTAATTATTTAAAGCATATTTACAAAGAGCGATGGAACCCCATAAATCTGTTCCGGCGTTGTTAACCTCGGCAAACACGCTTTAAATCATCCCCCAGCGTGGCTGCACGGGAGCTGTCTCATTCGAGCTCCATCAGACCCCCAGAGGAGACCCCTCCTTTAACTGGGACCAAAGCATTCGTTAGAGGGTAATTAAGCATTTACTTGTGCCCCGGGTCCATGGGGATCCCCCTGCCCCACGTGTCCCTGAGGTGGGGCTGGGACAGAGCAGCCCCATGGGAGCTGATCCGGGGTGGATTGGGGTTAATTTCTACTCACTTGATCCCCACCGTGTCCTCAGCCCGTCCTGCGATGGGGAGCGGCCGCCACAGCCAGCCCGGGGCAAGAAGAAGAAGAAGAAATCCGGGCGCAAGAAGCGAAGGAGGTGAGGGCGGCCATGGCAGCCGGGGGGGACAGGCAGCCCTGGCTCTGTGTGAGGGCAGAAAGTCAGCCTAAAACATCCCTGCCCCTAGCAGGGGGTTGGAAGTGGATGAGCTTTGAGGTCCCTTCAACCCAAAGCCTTCTGTGACTAACATGGAGGCTGAGCTCCCTGTGCGGAGGCGCCTCACAGGCCCAGGCAGCGGCCGCCATGTTCTCGCCTTCCCCTCAGGGCAGCAGAGGCTGGGGCAGGGCTCCCCTGCAGCCTGTCCGGGGGGATCCCGGCATTCCCAAGCTCCTCTCCATCCCAAGGGAATGCCACTGGTGGTGGGGTAAGGGTTGGGGAGGGCTGCGGGGAGCCTAATGCCCCTCTGCCTCCTCAGGTCTCCCTCCTACAGCCCCTCGCCTGTGAAGAAGAAGAAGAAGAAGAAGAGCTCCAAGAAGCGAAAAAGGAACAGGTATTTTGCCATTACAAATGTAATTCCCGGTGCTGGCAGGGCTGCTGGGGGGGTTGGAAGCCTGTGGTGGCTGAGCCCAGTGCCCAGCAGCACTGAGAGGTACCAGCTCCTGGTCATGGCTGCCTGGAGGGGAGCTGACGCAGGAGGGGCAGCGATGGTGTCCCTGCAGGCGAGGAGGGCACAGAATGGGGTGCAAGTGCAGTGCAACGGGTAAATGTGAGCCGTTGGGGTGCAGGGGAGGAGGGACAGGCACCAGTCCCTTTCCTCTCTCCCTCAGCCTGCAGCAAGCGTTAGCGTTTGGAGCAGGGAAAGACTTCCCAGTCTTCCCACCGCAGCCCTGGGTCACCGCCTCCACGTCCCCCTTCTGAAGGCTGCTTTTCATCTAAAGAACGTAGTTAAGTGTTCAAATTGCAAATATTTCACTGTTTTCCCTCAACTGTTGAAGCAGTGTCTGAAGGGAGCAGGGGGTGCCATCTGCCCTGGAACATTCATGTATTTGTAATGCGTTGAACCAAAGACAGAAGCTGGTAAAGATGGGTTACAGGGTATAAAGTTTAAAAGAACAGGGAGAAAAGAGAAAGAAGGATATGGAGCCCTTTAGAATACTCCCTAAATAAGGATTCTTCTGCTCATTTATGGATGCCGTCTCCTGATGGAAGCCTGGGGTCAGATGCTCTTTTGCTTTGAACCTTTAGTACCAGTTTATGCCCCTGCTAACCAAGGATCCTGCTCGCTGGTCTCAAAAGGCAGCATGATAAACCCCTAAGCATTAGTGACCAATGGAGGTTGTTTCCAGACACATGGAAGCACTTCACCTACAGATCCCAGCTCTCCTTGCTATAGGCAGCTTCACGGTGCCTCTAGACAGGACTTCAGGCTGTGTCTTCTGCAGGATGTTGTGCTCCAACATAGGAGCATGTCTTGCGTGCCCCAGGAGGCAAGGCAGGGGCATGGTGCTGGTTTGGCTGTGAGGATGCTCTGGAATGACACAGAAAGGATTCTTCCTTCGACTGCTACTTGGTCCTTCAGACAGAAAACCAGTGAATGACCTCACCTCTGCCCCCTCAGACTAAGTGCAGTGCAAGACTGGAGGCTGTAGCAGAGGAAAGAGGTCCACCAGGGCCAGGGGATGCATCTGATCTCTGAGGACTTGTTATCCTGAGGATCATATTCTCAGTTATCTGTAGGGTGCTGGTTGCTTCTCCCACATCAGCATTTCTCAGCTACCCCGTTGCCTAAAGGAAAGCCACCCCAGCAGGTACATGGGGGTGGTCTCACAGTGCTCTCAATCTGATACTGGGCCTAAACACATTGTCTCTGATTCAAACCTCCAGTTTTGTGAGACCTGTATCCAATGTACGTGTTTGTGTCTTGCAGGTTATCCTCAAAGAAGAGAAGACACAGGTAAGAGCTGGTCAAGTGTGGGTGGTCCCATAGAAATACAAATTTAATGGTGTCTCACGAGGCTGATGTTCACTACCTGGGGGCAGAAGACACTTTTCTTGTGTGACTCCTGTGGAATCCCCTTTTCCCTGTGGGTCTGGAGCTACCCTCTCCCTATACAGCATTCCTTAGACCCCATAGGAACCAGGTCTCCAGCCCAACCTGTGCAGCCAAGCACGTAACTGGAAAAGACCTTTTGGTATAGCCAAGCCCCTGGCAACCTCATCCATGTTGTATACATCCTGCACCTTGACTCTTCATTTCTTTTCTGGTTTCATTTGCAAACAGTAAGGAATCCCCTAGCAGAGCCCATCTTTGAAACACTCGGGGTCAGTGGCTTTCCAGGTGTGTACTGGGAGAGCTCTTCTGATTCCAGTACATGTGTGCACAGTACCAAGAAGCCACCAAGGTGGCTGATCCCTTTGAAGATCCTTTCTGGCCAAGCCCACAGCCAGCTTTGTCAGCAGGCACTCAGAGACCCCCTGTGCTGTGGCAGAACCACTAATCCCTTTCATTTTTTATTGCATGCTCTTGGGCAGTGCAGCTGTAACACTGACGTCTGATTGTGCAGTTTCTATCAGAGCAGAAATCTCTGAATTAATTAGCCATTTCTTATCTAGTTCTTCAAGCCCCAAAAGTAAGAGAAAGGAAGAAAGAAAACACAAAAAACAGTAAGTAGTGATTCATGGAGTTCCTTACCCTGCCTGCACAGAGCTGTGACCCTAGGAAGTGCTTGATGTGGTGTGTCCCCTGGAGCTGCGCAGCCCTAAGCAACTCAGGATTATTTTGCAGCTAAATGCAGCAGTTCTGGTTTTGCTGGAAAGGAAAAGGTTTGTAGAGGCTGGAGATCTTTCCCTCTCTTCTGTGCCATCTCATTCAGTACCTTTTCTGTGTTTCCCAAGGATGTACGGTGTCTTGTTCATCCAGTTCTGAGCAGGGTCCAGATTTCGGATGAGGGCAGCATGAGGGATGAGCTCAGCTCTGCAGAGCACAGTGCCACACAGCCTCCCAAGGGCCAGGCTGGCACGCTTGTGCTGAAAAAGGCTTAAGCTCCTCCTTGTTGGCAGCTTTTGGAGGTTGCAGTGGAGGCTACTCCTGATACACAGTACAACCAAATATTCCAAATGGGAGCAGAAGGCAATGGGGATTAGGGAAGAGAAGGGATTGTTTGGAGGTGATGGAGGTTGTAAAAACCTGAGTTTGAGGATCCCATCTGCCCTAGTGTTAGCAGAGCACAGCCCCTGTCCTATGGAGCAGTCAGTCAAGAGGTATGGAGTAAAACGGCTCCTCAGAGATGGAAGGAAGACCTGTAAACCCTTTCCTTTTTTTCACCTCCTCTGTCTTCTCGTGGGAATTGCACTTTGCAGCTTCTCACCTGCTTTCGGAGCAAGGAAGCAGCTCTGGGGCTGAGCCCTGGGCATGAAGTCCCTGGTTAGCTTTGCTGAGACTTGGGATACCCTACTAGTGACAGAAACTGGGCTAGCAGATGGAAATCTGATGGTTGGTTTGGTATGAACACCTCCTGGTGCCACCAGTGTCACCCCAGTACACGCTGGGACTGATTGGGAGTGCATGGGGCACACATCATGTTGTGCTGCCTGCACAGGCCCTCTCTAATGCATGCAGAGAGCCCATCTCCTTTTCTCTGTGATTTTTGTATGTTCAGTAGCACAGCCACAATTGCTCTTGGGGATTAAACTAGCCAAGGCAGTGTAGCCCTCATCTTCCAGCTCTCAAAGAGAGCTGAGTGACTCCTGGCTTCTCCAAACCTCCTTGTTGCTCCTGGTGTGGATAAGATAGCATCCTGTGAGCCATCTTGAGTCAGGATTTTTGTATAATCATGCTGCTTTGGCTTATCTGTGTATGTGCTGATCTAAATTACACAAGGCCAGTTTTTTTTTCTCCTAAAGAAAGGGAAAGCATTTAAAGTGGAGGGACTGATGCAGAAGGTGAAGAGTAAACATGGGGATTTTAACATAAATCCACCATATGAGGGAGAGATGTTCAGTATTGCTGGTTTCATCCATATGGAAATGAGGAACGAGGATCCCCAAATATGAAGTTTTAAATATAATAATAGGGTGTGAAGAGCATCACAGAAACCAGCCAGGTGGAGTTCAAGCAATTGCCCTGGAGGTTGCTCCATTGTCTTAAGGGATATGCTGTTCTCAAGCAATTGCTTTGCTGAGTTTTATAGCAGCAAATGGCTAAATGCTGTCCAAGCAGGTTGTATTAGTGCTCAGTGACTATTAGTGCTCAGTGACAATAGTGTGGCCATGAAACCAGAGCGTTCCCACTGGCTAACCCACCGTTAGCTTTGCCTGCTGGCACAGCAATGCCAGCCTCAGCAGATGGCTACACTGCCACATGTGAAGTGACTGCTGCGGTGGGCAATGAGGAGAGGGAATGGGCTCAGGGTGACAGGTAGGGAGGCTGGGGAAGGCTGGCTGTTACTGAGTGTACTGTGTTATTTAGAGCCTGTCCTTCTGCATCTGCTCTTTAACAGGGAGCTTGCACTGCAGAGAGGGTTGGAGCAAGAACTGCAGGGACTGGAGCTTTGTGATGGGTTGGCCAAAGGGACAGTGCCCTGCCACCGAGGGTCAGCAGTGCGAAGGTCCCAGGCTGTTTCTGCCTGTCTTGGGGTAGGCTGCAGGGTGAAAGGCAAGCAGATGAGTGAGCAGGCATATAGCTCTTTAAAGTCTTGAAACCAGAAAGGACTGGTGCTGTCTGCTGCACTCCTGCATGCTACTCCATAGATCTTCCCCCAGAAAGCCACAGAGCCAACCTAATAGCTTGCAGCTAAAGTGCTGCATAGATCTCTGTAAGATGACATGCCTTAATGCCAGTGTAGCTCTGAAGGCATGAAGAATTTCTCCTGCAGTGATGTCCCGCACAATCTCCTTGGCTTAAAACGTAGATCTCCTTTCTGATTTGAATGTTACTGACCTCAGCCTCCAGCTGCTGGATCTTGCACCCCCAAGTTTGCTGGCCTAACGGTGGTTTTCTTCTCTGCTTCTTCAAGCTCTCGTGGGCGCAGCCGGAAATCCCATCGCCACCGCCACTGCCACTCTCGCTCGGAGAGCTCCGACTCCCATTCCCCCAGCTGCCGAAGCAGGTAATGTCACCATTCCCTGAGCTGTGTCCTGTAATGCTTCCCAATGGGCTCAAGGACATGATTGCAACAGCCTCTGTGACCCATATACTCTCTACACAGAGCCTCATCCTACTCTGATAGCAGCTATGCTACATCACTGAGGGCTGAGCTTCTTGTGGTCTCAGCTATGGAAGGGTTTTGCCTTGAGGAGCAGTGGCTGCTGCTTTTTGGTTTGGCAGTCACTTCTAATCCTCATGGCTGATGATCAGTTCGTGACAGCTGATTCCAGCCTAGTCTTCCTTCCCCAGCCCAAGGGCTGTGTACTGCTGATGTCCCAAGAGATCCTTAAACAGTCTTAGCAATGGAAATGTATTTGCCCATGGCCATAGCCACCATCTTTGACCTGATTAAAATCTCCGTCCTGTGGATGACAGATGCATCCTGGGGCCAGCTAAGTGGATGCTGGTGTTAGACCCTGCATCACTGCAATAGCAAGTTACACAGTTTACACACATCATGTTTCATGTTTTCTGAAAGCACTTGAGCAAACCACCCCCCCTCTCCCACTTCACTCCTAGCTACTGGGAATTTGCTTCTGAAGAGCTGATGTTCAGTTGGGGGGAAGAATGCAATCGGTAATCAGAGGGGTGTTCATGCAAGAGCAGACAGAATGTGCCTTCTCTTAGAGGTGTATTACCATAGGGACATTCAAGGCTGTATGGAAGTATGGTTTGCCTTGAGCCATCATAAAGTCATGAACTGGAGCTGAAACACAAGGCTGAGGTCCAAAGCCCGGATGCAAAATATTCTTTGTTTAAAAAAAAAAGTAGAAAAGCAAACCACTCCTTTTCTCTGCATCATAACTCCACAGAGCAGTCATGTGGAAAACCTTTCCCACACACAATGGCCTAGCACAGAGCTGCCAAGGCTTTGTATGGAGCTGGTAATGGGCACTACAGCAATACCAAGGAGTAACAGTTTGCCTGTTCATGTCTTCTGGAGGCACAGAGCCAGGTCTCGGGAGGAAAGGCGTAAAACACGGCGAAGACACTCCCGGCACCATTCCAAGATCACGGCAAAGCGAAGCTCCTCTGCAGAGGTTAAGGCCAGCCAAAAAGCCAGCCAAACCCTCCAGCTCTACAGCTTCCTGTCTCCTAAGGAAGTAGTAAGTATTACACACTGTGCTCCTCTGCTTGAACTAGGAACTTGCTGCAGGAATCTGGGCAAGAAATCTGATATGAAATTTTTATAACTCAATTACAGTGATGTTAGACAAAGTTGGTTTAAAACTATGACTTATTAATGGTGCTGTTCTCCAATGTATTTCAAGTCATTCCTTCCTTCAGCACTTTCCCACCAAAGGTGGGGCTGGAGAGGGGAAAAATTTGCAAAGGCTCTAGCCTATGAATAATGAATTGAGGACATTTAGCAAAAAAGAAACAAAAGAGTGGCCTCCAGCAATGATATTTTACAGGGAAGGGTTTGCTATGCAGTCTTTGCTCAGCTGGATGTGAACTTAATTCACTGGTCTTCGTGTCCAAAAGTTTACTCCTTCAGGGGAAGAAAGGGAATCAAACATATATATAAAAGAAACATCTATGTTTAATGAGTTGGTGATTATTGGCAAGGGGATATTTTCTGACTATCAGGATCCTTCTAGGATCACTGCTGCTCTGGACTGACAAGCCCAGGGGCTGAATTCAGAACTTAGGAGCAACTCTCATCAATGCTAATGGGAACTGCACGTGCAGCTGAGGGTAAAATCAGGCTCAGTGCCTTGGGATGTTTTTCCATGTGCATGGAAAGAGATGATAGATTTGAGGGAGGAAGAAACTGAAAGAAGTATTAGATACAGGCTGATATGCAGTCTTCCTTTTCCGTGGCATGTTTCCCATTTGTTCCCAGTTAGCTGCAAAGCAGAGATGTGATGCTCCTTGATTGTGGTGTTAGTATCCAATAGGCATTTTGGAGAGATAAATTGCTACACAGGATTCAAGGTAGTGCAGAATCTGGTACTTGTGTGGATGTGTAACATTAGAGGTGTCTTCAGTACAGAGTCCTCCAATCGCCAAAGTGATATATAAAGGGGAACTGATTTTCTCGTTTAGGCCCAGTCATCAACTTGAAATAGCTCAGCCACAGGCAGTTAGCTACATCAGATATGAGGTAGTGCCAGCAAGAGGAGAGACTTTATCTGCTCTCCCACACAGACAGTGCTCTGATCAAAATACACAGAGATTGTACGTGGGTACAGACAGGCACAAGCTGTCTCTCAACATTATAGATATGCATATTTGCTCTCGTTATGGACCTCTATTGTGCAGTGCACATGTGAGTCATTGCTTATAAAACCATATAAGGTAGAGTGAGTAGCAGAACCTGCACACCACACATCAACACATGCCCATGAAGAAAGAGTAACAAGGTATGAAGCTCTTATTGTCATGAGCCTGGGGTGTTGCCCTCTGTCAACTTGGGAAGGTAGGAATGACTTAAGAGCTCCTCCCAAAAACCAGCCAACCAAAGACTGCATCATGGCCCCAGGGTTTTTTTTTTTTGGTTCAAGAGGCATATTTTATGTAACTGTTTTCAAGTCTAAGCCTGGTTTTTAATGAGTTGTAGGTTTTCTCTCTCTGAAGCCAGGCTCCCCGAGTCCTGTGAGGCTGACTACCAGCTGCTCTGTTCCCTGAGCAAGAATAAACTCTAATTTAAAACTGTAAAAGCTTTAAAATGAGCTCAACTCAGGCATGCTGCACCCCCCTTTCCACTTGCTTCACTGGGGTAAATGAGCATACAAGCTACAGGGCAGGGAAAATCAGAGCTTTACAGTTAGAAATGCAGAGGATGGACAGAAATAAATGTTATCAGGCCCCTACTGCTTTCTTTCTAGTAAGGGTTAATAGCACAGGCAAATATTTAAATGACTAAAAGGCATCAGTACCTTTAATATGCGACCCACTAGTGTCCTTTTGTTCCCCAAAAGAAGTCAACCCTCTTGGGACATCATTCAAGCTCACATTTAAGCACCTATTTAAATTGAAGCCCCTGGTTAAGTGCTGCTCCTGAATTTTTTCTGTAGAAGGTCATTAAATATCATGTACTCAAAACTGGCAAGGGAAAAATGGAATGGGAACTTGTAGTTTCATTTATTAATGCCTATACACAACTCTCTGATGCCTCTCCTTTTTGTGAGTTAAACAGTTCCTCTATAAATAAGCGTAGTCCTGTCAGCCTCGACTTTGAGAGCAGGCTGGATGTGTTAGAAATGAAAATGTGCTCTTGCAGAAAATGGTGATCGCATAGAAATAAATTACTGGGAAAGAAAAGGTTGTGTGAAAAAATCCAGAACTGGGAGTCAAAAATGCCATGTTTCAGTCCTCTGAGGGTTGGGGTGTCACATTCCCCTACCCTTCCCAGCCAAACCATCCTTACCTGGGGGGATGCATTGTCATGTATCCAAAGGAGAGGGGATTGTCCGGGGAGGATCCCAATGAAGAGACTCAGAGAGACAAGGCATGAACTCCCATGGGGTAATCTTATAGCACTTCCAAATCAAAGATTGTGCTTTTTAAGCCATTTTCTTTATTCCACATTCTTTTTCTTGTGAAAACTTGAAACATTTTGTAGTAAATTCTGCTATTCCTCCCCCAGTTTGTTTTCCTTCCTTTCTACTGGAACAGCCACAATTTCTAGCTAGGTCTACCTGTAATTTATAAGGGATAAAGCATATGAAATAATGCCCTAATGCCCTATCTATGCCTCTACCTTGCTGCTGCTTTCTCTTTTGCCTTTATGCATAAGTTGGTGCATGCACACACACATGCAGAGACACCCCAAAGTTCCCTGCTGCTTTTCTTTTTGGCAATGAATTCCCAAGCTTCTCCTACTCATTCTCCCCTTAATCCCATGCAGCCACAATAGCCACCTATTGAGAACAGGACTGCATGAGGGTCTGTGCCCCAGCATGTGGAGAAACTGGGTAATATACAGCATCTATTTTTGAACAGGATCCCCTTAACCTGCTGCAGGTGCTTTATTCTACACTGACACAGATGCATTTCATGCCAGTGTGCTTTCAGTCGAGCAGTGCAATAGAAATGCCTGCAGGGCATGAATCTAATTGCTTTTGTTGTACCTGATGAAGATAACTGCACGCTGCAGACACTTGCCTTGCCAGCTCCTTCACTTCCACTGAGACTCATTTACAATGTCACAAATTCACAGAGGCTCGAGCCAGATTTTCAGTGGGGCACGGGTGTTCCAAATGATGCTCGTGTGTCTGCAGAAAGGTAGGAGTGAGAAAATACTGGGATAGCAGGTGTAGGAGGGCTCAGGAAACCTTCTAGCAGACCTTCATATTGGCTTGCTGTTGCTCTAGCCTGTTCTGGTTTACATAGGAAAAGCTATCCTTTTAACTGGTAGGCAGCGTGTTTCTGTCAACAAAGAGGGCCCTTGAAGAGCGGAAAGGCAAAGCCTGCCATGAAAAGAAAAAGAGAGAAGAGCTTCCATTAACTCCCACCAAGGAACTGAGGTTCCCTCTGGTGTGGGAAGTTTGCAGCTCAGCACTGGGACACAGGGAGCCCAGCAGCCACTGATGGGCTGTGCTATACACCAGGTACCAAAGGAGGTGGGAAAGGCAAAGTAGTGCCAGCCTAGCTGAAGCCAAGGTGGAGACGCCCTGTGTCACATAACACTGCCTGCACCTCAGCATGCTGAAAAGATCTTTGCAAAGGAACAGACCTTTGCCTGGCATTCTTGGGAATTCAGCCCCAGCAATGGATCCAGGAGCCAGGCTGCTCAGCAGTGTTATCACCCAGCTCCACAGAACCCAAGCTCTGACCTTGCAGGGACAGTTCTGTCATTGCCTTCATGCTCCTGGACTTAGCTTAGCCCTTGTGGTACAAAAAGCCTCACCCTGAGCTCTCCATCTAGCCAAAAAGAAGGGTATTTTTCACTCAGTATTGCTCAATATAGCAGGATCTGTAGTTGTGTAGCCCTCAGCAGGTGCTGCTCCCTGCACCAGCAGCTCCTCAGCAGATGTCTGCTGAGCCCTTGCTGAGAACAAGGCTCACCAGGGTCATTGACACAAGTGTTTTATTCCTTTCATTATTGCAATGCACAGAGAAAAGAGCGAAGGGGAGATATTCTGCACCTCTGAAAAGGAAATTAACTCCACTTTGAAGTGAGTTGCAAGACAAGAATAAAAAGACCCAAGAAAGAACTCCTCCAAGCAGAAGTGAGGCTGTGCCACGCAGCTCTTTGATGGGTCTCAGCCCCCTTATGGCTGAGCAGATGTAGAGCCATCTCTCACCCCAGGGCTGTTTGCAGCACAGTAAATGGAGTTGTTCAGTTTAATTGGAAGATGAGTAGTGATTGTGTTTTTGTAACCTATTAGACTGCACTGCCTCTTGGTCTAGGATCACACTCACAGTCTGGTGTATGGGTGAGGGCCTTATTTCTGCTCCCCCTTCATCTTGATTAAATAATGATTTGAACCCGAAAAACTCCAATAAATGCATCTTGGGTTCCCTTGAGGGCAGCAGTAGCTCCCCTGCTGAAAGCTGGAGGAGGCAAAGTTCCCTGGGATTGTTTAATTACTTATTAGAGAGGTGGAAAAATGAACATGTTCACATAGAGAAAATGAGATTGTGAATGAGCAGAGTGTTTTAGGACACTCTAGAAAAACAAAAAGCCATTAGAATTCAGCTGAGCTCTGCAGTGTTTGTAGATGTCGCACAGTGCTTTCAGATGTGGGATTGTTTCCATTTCAAGTGGCTGGCATGCCTTTCAGAAGCTGTAAAATGGGACCAGAAGCAAAGCCAAGGTCATCAGGCGGGGAATTCACCCAAGCAGACAGGCAAGTTGAGCATCTCAAGGCTTGTCCTGGCTCTAGCCACACGACAGAAATCTCCCCCAGAGCCTGCAGGGAGTTACTGGCTACAGCCTTGTGCCCTGAGGTATGGGGGCTGGAAGTTGCTGTGTCCCCCCAGCACCTGCCTTGGCCCAGCCAGCTCCTCCAGGCCTCACACGGACTGTGGGCTCCCCATTTCACTGATACCCACACATTGTGGGTATCCCACAGGGTGCTGCTACCACCGATGTCGAGCTACAGGGAAGCTTGTTGATCCCCTGGTCACTTGACAGATTTTGTGATGTGCTGACAACAGTTGCTACTTTGAAGGTAGACGTCAGTGAAGGCAAAGCAGAAGCCTTGAAAGCTGGTTTAGAAATGCTAAGAAACTGCAGAAGTAAAGCCCTTTTGGTTTAGACTGGGAGGAAGCAGAAACATGCGTGTGGTACTGGGATCGGTGTCCATCAGAGCAGCCCCATCCCACTCCAGTCCTTTCCTACCTCTGCAGCCAGGGAGTACTTCACATGGTGGTTTTATGCCTGTGAATGGGAGGTGATCAAAAGCTGGCTGTCTCTTGGGTTGGGTGCAGATCTAATGCAAACCATAACCCACCTATTAAAAAATATCTAGTGGCATGTTTTAAAGACAATCCTGTATCTTCTGGGGTGTGGCTGGGGACAGTGCAGTGGTTCAAAGCAAAGAGGCCATTTCTCTTAGGGCTCTGGATGTGGCGTCAGGGTTTCAGAAAGAATTGGTGAACAACATAACCAAATATCTCTCTTATGCTCCCTTGACATTGTAATTTCTACTGGAGTAAACAAGGACTGGCAGCGAAGTGCTAGAGCTGAGAAGTAAGGAGCACTACCAGATGAGGACTTTCAATGTGTGTCTCCATTCATTCCTAGCTGGGAACACTTGGGAGATGTTTCTGCTCTGTTGAGGGTTTCTGCTTTGAAGGTGCAAGTTGGCTAGTGAAGAAGGATCACTTCAGTTCCCTTGTCTGCTGCTGGGGCTCCTGATGTCTCCAAGTTAGCACTAAGCATCAGTCAGAAGGTAGTATGGGGTGGGGATGGGGGAGTCTCCAGCTCCAGTATGGATCTGCTAGGATGAACCAGTTCCTATTCTGTTGTCCCTTATCCCAGAAGCAGTAATGCCTCTCTCCCTGGCAATATAGGAAGTATTTGGAGAACCTCCAGCTCCGGGCATTTTCAGTGTGAGGATGTTGTGGGCAGTTGTCACACCACAGACTGTGTGCTGGAAGCTGTTGTGTGTGTTGGTAGCTTTGCTCTGGTTTCAGTCACTGCTGGTTCAGCATCTGTGTCCAAGTCAGCAACCTTCACCCAAGGGACACAGATCAGATGCCACAGGCAGGATGTGAAGGCACCATCTGATGGGATGAAGGAGCTCCAAGTAAAAGGTGATTGTAAAGGGTCTGTAATCCCTCTGTGGATAAGAAGGAACCCCGTCCTCGCACCAGCCAGTCCAGGGCTACGCTCTCCAAAGGGGCTGGCCCTGGCACTGCTGTGTGACAAATGACCCAGGTCTCTGCTCCCTGAGATATTACTAACATTGCAGTGTTGTTTTCTCAACTCAGAATACCCCAGGTTTGTGAAGGCAAAGCATTGCCCAGTTCCAAGTGTGGAGAGCATGGCACAGAGGGAAGGCATTTTATGCCCTAGAGCACAGTGTGAGCACACGTGCAGGTGTTTGAGGGAGTACAGCTTGTTGGGAACGTGTTGGAGGACTATTCCAAGCTGGGAGGACCAAATCTATGTGTCCACATGCTAAGGACCCTAGACCAAACCTCATGGATCGGAATGAGGGGAGCATCTGAGTGAAAGAGGAGGAGGCCACATGAGAGTGCAGATGTGCTGGGTCTGCATTTGGCCCTAAACCTCACCCCACTGCAAGGGCAGGGTGTTAGCACTAATATAGCCTCCCTCCCAGTGCTGGTACATTCCTGGACCAGCTCAGGTAAATGCCAATGGAGTTAAAACTGACCTGTAAAATACTCAAATGATGTAAATCCCTTTGGTGGTGCTCAGGGCCCCAGACAACAGCCCTGCCCAGGGCAGCCGATGGGGGTTTGGGGTCCTTGCTGACCCCATTGGGTTCAGCAACCACTGAAACCCAGCCAGAGTTCGGCTGAACCCCATGCAGAGGCTGGCAGGAGCAGGGCTGCATCCCCTTCCCCATAGGGCTCCACTGCAGCACAGGGGGGAATATTTGTCCTTCTCTATTTCCCTACTTCTTCCTTCACTTGAGTTCCCTTTGTCACTCCATGAAACCCAGGGGGATTAGTGCAAGGTGCGACCACAAACACTCAGCCTCCAGGAACGGGCTGAACTGCCTGATTTAAAGCAGAAGGAAACAAAACTGAATAATGAGGGAGACCAGCAAGCAGCCCCAAAGCAGTGGTGCCATTTGCATAGAGCAGGCGAGCAAACAGTTGGCAGTGTGGATTGAAGAGAGGGGTTATGTTTTTTTCATGTCATTTGAGACTCTAATGATGGACTTATGTTGCCCGCTCTTCCTTTTTTCTTACACCTTACCTACTAAAGGAGGAGTTCTTGATGGGTAAGTGGATGCTATCCGCAAGACACCAGGGAATGTATGAGAGGTCACTTGAGCGCATTAGCTATATCTTCTTCAGGGGGTAAAAAAGCACACAAAGAAGTATCTGTATACCTTTAATTTCCAGAGGGATTTTTCTTTTTCCCTCCCCCTTTTTTCTTTTTTTATTTTTTCTCTTTTTTTTTTTATTTTATTTCCAAACAAGAACTTGTTCATTTGCCAGTTTTTCCTTTGTACAGAAGCCCTTGGTTTGATTTGATTTTTTTTTTCTTTGCTTATTGTAGTGCCATTCATTCAGCCTCTTTATTAAGGAAGCTTAAAAAATTCACTCCTTTAAGATTTTGTTTCATTTTTGTTTTCTTCCCAAGGATTATGTAGGGGTTTTTATATGTATATACACATTTACTCATTTATTTTTTTCCCACCTCCCCTCTTTTAAGGTTAAATAAGGGCTTTGTCCTCTTTTTGATTTAGTTACTTTGGTTCTTTGGTTGCCCGTTTACTTTGCTGAACTCTTTTTGTTTAACATGAATCGCATGCTGATACTCTTTGCATGATCTCTAAATCTTCCCGTTATCATAGCAGGGGGAAAAGAATTTTCTTCTTACTGTGGTTTTCTTTCAGGGATATATGCTTTTGTTTTCTTCTTCTCTTTCTTCTTTTTCTTTCTTTCTCTCTTACTTTCTTTCCTTTCCTTTTGTTTCAGTGCATCATGATGGTAAAATTTCTGGGTTTATTAAAAAAAAAAAAGGCAAAATAAAACCAGAAACACCCCCACCCCCCCCTCCAAACCCGTTCAAACAATGCCAAATGGCTTTTTTGCTTTCAGATCTCTCAGTCAGGGTCTTCTGCTGACCTCTTTACCAAAACAGACAGCCCGCCTGGCAACCTAGCCAGCCACAATGGAGAGTATCATGAATATGACTCAGGAAACGATACTTCCTCCCCTCCCTCCACTCAAACGAGCTCATCCAGGTCAAAGGACAGCCAGGAGAAAAGAAGTCTAGTCCATGATGGCTTTGGCCATGCCTTCTCGTCCGGGAAGCCCAAACTGGCCAACAGCGATAACAGCTCTGATTCAGGAAATTCCTTCACCAGTTGCTTTTCCCAGACCAAGGGAACAGCTTTGGAAAATCTGTCTCCAGATGCCCAGGGACAAGACCGAAGGTCAGTGATTACCAGTAGCTGCTGCTGGCAGCCACATACCTGGTACGTTGTTGCTCTGTATCTCCTGCCCGCTCGCCAGCTGCAGTGGTGAGCTGGCAGGGAGGGGTTTGTGGTCTGGAGGCAGTGAGATGTAGATGAGACCCGCGGTCTTGCCAGTCTGGAGGCCAGAACCCAGCATTAATCGATGCTGTAGCCTGAGGAGGAAGATGAAAACCCAGCCATCACAGCCCCGGGCATTGCTTGTGCTAGCTCTTCTGGTATCAATGTGGTTAACAGAGGGTTTGGCCCTGGATTGAGCTGTGTCCTGAACACGTCCCTGCTCAGCTGGGCATGACCATGGCAAAGAAGAGAGTCACTGGTCCTTCTGGGCAAAGTCTGAGAGGTGCATCAAGGGGTTGCTGTGCTAACTTTCCCCATCTGCTTGCTGACTGTGAGGAAGGGAATTGGGGCTCATTTGCACTAAAACCATTCTGGGCTGTTCTTTCACCTCTCCAATGAGCCAGATCCAGCCTGCCCCTTCCCAGTCCATTCCTGGGTGACAAGACAGCATCTCCTGCAGATGGGGAGCACAGGGAAGGGCAAGTGCCTGGCTGGCTGCAGGATAACACAGCGGCAGCTCTGTGCGCTGGGGATAAGGGGCATCAAGGCTGGGGACAGCAAATCAAACCATGACCCAGTGCTGCAGGATCATCAGGAGAGGGGAGTGGATGCCAGCCTCCATCACCACCTCCCATTCCTGGGAGTTTGCCCAGTGATGTAGGGGATGAAGGCACTGAAATGCAGTGGTTGGTACCCAAGGCTATGAGCAGGCAGTGGTGGTAGAGAGCTCTTCCAGCTCAAGCCCTCGGCTCTTTAAGGCTGAAAGTTAGGGCCGGGATGTGGTCTAGGGGTGGGAGCATTGAATGAGAGAGGAGAGGGAGCCAGGGAATTGGTGTTAGGAAGAACAAGCCCTCGGTTTGCAGTCAGAGGGTGCCATTTTAGGGCTGTGTGTGCTATTCACATTGTGACTCCAGTGGGATAACTCTGCCTTCACATGGGTGCAGCTGGGATTGCAGCTGGCCCTGGCTGCCTCGGAGCTGACCTGCTCTTCTGCTGGGCTCTAACCCAGGGCGCTCCTGGAAGCAGAGGAATTCACACAGCCCTGCTCCTGCTGCTCCACAGCCAGGCTGGAGCACAGGCCCTTGCCCTCCCATGCTCTGGCTTTCCCTTGCTCCAGCACTTCTCACCTCCTCACTCGCTGCTGCTGCACCACTCGCTGGCCTGACCCAGGCTCTGGCAACCAGACAGCTCTGATGTGTTGGGCATGGGACAGAAGAGCGGCCTCTCACACCACCTGAGAGCTCTTCCCCGGCACAGCCTGGAGGGTGAGCTCTTGAGCTCTGACCCACAGGGTCTCCTGCAGCAGCAGCCTGGAGAGCCAAGAGGTCTTTTTTATCCCCAGCTGTGGAAAGGGAGGATGGGAGTAGTGGTTGGCCGGAGCATGATGCTCCCCTCAGCCAGGGACCAGCCCCAGCCCAGCCCCAGCTTCAACGCCTGTCCAAATATATGTCCACAGAGGGTGCCTGTCCTTATGTCTCAGCTGCTCAGAGGACAAGAAGCGAGATTTCCCCCCGTCCCCAAGCCGCAGCTCCCGCAGCGAGTCCTACACCAGCACGGGCAGGTCTTCCCCTGGCTCCAGCCGCTCCCGCTCCTCACACCACAAGGCCTCTCCCAGGTACTCCCGAAGCAGGTCCCGTTCTTCAGGAAAGAGGTAAGGCCTCTAAACGGCTGCCCCTGTGACCCTGGGCAATGTCTAGCTCTTGCAGCCTGGCAGGCTCCTTGCAGGGGAGGTGTAAGAGTTCGGGGGGTACCTACTTCATCCCACATGGCTTGGGGTGACCTGGCCACACAGAGCTGAGCTACAGCCCTGAAATATGGGGCACCTCCTTCCCCCAACCCCATGAAACCCAGATTTGGAGGAGCCTTGACCACCTCCCCCTCCATTTTTAACTCTTGAATGGTTCTTGCCTGTCCCCAGGTCTTCTTCACGTTCCCCCAGCTACTCCTCCAAATCCTGCAAAAAAAGTCCTGGGAGCAGGAGTTCAAGGCCTCGTCGGAGCCCCAGTTACTCCCGCTACAGCCGTAGCAGGTACAGCTGTCTCCTTGTGTGGTATCTGCTGCCTCATCCTTTCCCACTGCTCCTTCCCTTGCTGGGACTCCAGCACACTTGCTGTCTCCTGCCAGGCCCAAACTGCTCCCTCAGCTTCCTCACTGGGTGCTTTAGTCCTCAGCACTTGGGGTCAGAGGGAGCAGGGGGACGTGGAGTAAGGATTATTGCTGCACATTATGTTGGCCCTCAGTCCAGTGGGAATTTCTCACCGTTTATTGCCCCAGGGCTGGTGCTGGTTGCAAAGGGAAGAGCCCAGAGATGAGCCTTTCACTTCCTATGGGGAAAAGTGGATTTCCTATAGCCCTGTGCTGGTTTGGGGGACTTTCACACAAAGCACTTTTGGAGCTAGGCGAGGTTGCTGGGAAAGAGACGTGGTTTACCCCTGGCTTTGGACCATCGTGGTACCTCACACTCGGAGCGTGTGGCAGGTGAAGTGGCTGTTCCTCTGCTCAGAGCATTTGCAGCCAAGAGTGCACAGATGGCTGCCTGCTGGTGTTTGCCAGAGCATCATCAAAGTGGGAGATGCCTCACAGGAGAGCCCAGGGACTGCCCCTCTCTATCATGCTGGTGTAAATGGTGGGCAGAGGATTAGGCTCCAGTTGGGTCTGCCCACACCTTTCATCACCAGAGGAGTTCATGCTGGCCAGCAGCCCCTGCAGCAGAGCTGCAGCCCTTGTCAGAGAGGGATCTTAGTCACAGCTCTGCCAAAGAGTTGTCAGGCCCTGTGAAGTGCCCCTGCTGTGTGTGGAGATGTCAGGTACCCTCATGCTGGCACTCACACAGCCTTGCAGAGGAAAACCCAGACCAGGCAACTGAAAACGCACATCCCACAAGCTCAGCCCTAGAGATGCCTTTGGGCAGGTTTGTCTGGTAACATCTCTGCCGCTGTGAACATTTTGCACCCTTAAATGTTATGTTGCCAGGGTCTGGTTGTTGCAGGCTCTGACAATCCCTGCCGTGGTGTCACAGAACACATCCTGCGTGCTGGGATCAGGCCCTTGACCTGTAACAGCGCTTTGCAGATGGCATTGAGCAGGATGTATGAAGTCAGCTCCACTCCACAGAAGGGCCTGTGCTGACGTGTGTGGGGAATTTAACAAAAGAGAAAACCATAGCAACACCGGCACTCCTCCTGGAGAGCAGGGCAGAGCTGCACAGCCCTGCAGGGATACTGGGGCCCTCTGCTCACGTGGGGCCTGCTGCCAGGGCTGTTCTGGCCTGCTTCTGCTGCATAGCCAGCAAGGGCTGGTTTGGTAGAGCTAAATACAGCGTGCATCCACACACACAGGTATGTGGAAGTCATCTTAGCCTGGCAGTGCAGGGCCACCCTGCTGAAACCCCCCGATATGATTACTGCTCACATCCATTGTGCTCAGTGCCTCCGTGTCCAGCTGAACGAATGAGCACAGGGCTGATTCTACCAGAGCACTTTGCTTTAGCGCTGAGTGTCCTCTGCTCACCTGCGCCTCCGTGGGTCATTGCCCCTCTCCCCACCCAAAACCCCAGCAGTGACAGTTTCAATGTGTGCCTTCCCCAGAGAGCGCGAGCACAAGTACAGCTCCAGTGACAAGGAGTCACACCGGGAGCGGGACCGGCAGCGCCGCTCCTATTCACCCCTGAGGAAGCGGAGGAGAGACTCTCCCAGCCACCTCGAAGCTCGGCGCATCACGAGGTAAGGGGATGCAGCCCCATCGCTTGAAGACAAGCTCAGCCAGCACTCCTCAGGGACATACATGTGGGTGTGCTCTCTTTGGGTCCCAGCCCTTGGTTTCTCCAGGAGGAGACTGGTTTCCCTTAGCCTGATCAGGTCCTGCTGCCCCTCCTAGAGGTTGGGGATTTCCAGCTAGAGGCAGAGGGAGGATGGAGGGTCTCATTTACAACAGATGAAGTCAGAGCAGGGGCTCCCCCATCATGTGCCATGAGCAACCCCCTCCAAAATTTTTTGTTTCACCCTCTGCTGTCGTAGATGTTCCACGCTATACAGTGTCAAATACTGAATGCAACCTTCCCACTGAGGGCTCTTTGGGACAACATCAAGCAGAGTTCAACCTCAGACTTGGTGCTTGGGACATTCCCAAGGGCCATGGGGGTGTGCGGTTTGTATCCCAAGGCCTGTCAGCTAACTGATCTGCTTTATTTCTTCTAAACACACATTCTGGGGGAGTGTTTTACAGAATAAGCAGTGCTTTTTGGAGGCTTTAGCAGTGAATCCATCCTTGTGCGGCTGGTAACCCGCATCTCTGTCCCCACAGCGCCCGCAAGCGCCCCATCCCCTACTACCGGCCCAGCCCCTCCTCCTCCAGCAGCGCCGGCAGCTACTCCTCCTCGTACAGCAGCTTTAGCCGCTCCCCGAGCCAGAGCCGGAGCTACTCCAGCTATCGGACGAGCCGGAGCCGAAGCTGGAGCAGCAGCAGCAGCACGGAGGTCAGGAGCCGCAGCCGGAGTTCGGGCCCCAGGAGCAGCCGCAGCAGGAGCAGGAGCTATGACTCAGGAGGCAGTTCCGACAGCCTGCGTCGGTAGGGAGTGCCGCGGACGGCTCCCAGGGCTGGCGTCACCTCCGAATTCCTGGCATTCTCCGCTTCCTTCCCACCTACCTGGCCATCGATAGCAATCATCCCGGTACCGATGTGGGGGCAGTGCCGGGTCCCCCTTCCCCGGTTTGGAGTAAGAGCCCTCGTGCGCCCAGTGCAGCCCCTTCACTGCCTCATGGAGTGAGTGGATCAGTCCCAGCTCCCCAAGCCAGGGCTGGAAGAAGGGTTGGTGCTTTACAGAGGGTCTGTCACAGCAGACCTGCTCCATCCTCCCCATCGCTGCCGCTCTCCAATGCGCTACCAGCTGGTCCAAAGGAAAGAATTCTGCCTCTTGCTCTTCTGCCTAGCCAGCAACCAGTGAATGATTTTCTGCTGGAGGGAGAAGCCCAGATAGGGATGGATTTGCTGGGAAGCTTTGGTGATGGGTGGGCGTGATTTGTCTCCACCAAGGCAAGTATCAGGTCCCGTGGGTCTCTCCTCCAGAGTTTCTGCCCATTCTGCAGCAGGCCTCTTCCATGAGAAAATACGTATTTATTGCTGGTCAGCCAGCCCCTGCTATAAATAGGCTAGAAACCCTCCTGGCATTATTCCTGGGGGTAAAAAAGGCTCTTCCTTCTCTTCCTCCTGCTGTTTTCTACCAGCTGTGCATCATCTTTGGCAGGGTTGTTTCACCCCCACCCCACCACTGTGACTTGCTTGCGAGCTGCTGAGGTCTGAAGGAGAACGGGGCCAGTGGGGTACAAGAGAGAGGAATGGTGGTGCCAGGCTGTGCTCCGAGGGTCAGCGCCGTGGGGTTCCCTTCTCAGAGAAATCCTCTTGCAGTTTGGGATGAGCTTTTTCTAAAGGGAGGGCAGTGCTGGTGGGACTGCAAGATCTGCAGTGGGGTGCAGTGAGAGCACACAGGGACCCCCATTCCCCTTCCTCGTAACAGGCAGCGATTTTAAGCAGTGCCAGGAAGATTTCAGGACACTGTTTCTCCTCAGGGTCCACTGAGGCAGGCCTAGAAGATGCACTGGCCCCAGCGTGTTGCTGGGATGAGGGAGCAGAGCAGGGGGGAAACAAAGGGCTGCCCACCAATTGCCTGGAATTCCAAGGAGCTGCAAGCAGCAGGAGGAGGGCCCTGCCTGCTCGGGCAGCCCTGGGCCCTGGGGTTTTGTCTCCCTGCCAGCCCAGCTCCTGCGCAATTCCTGTGTTTTGCAGGGTAACAAAAGGCTTCTCCCAGCCCAGGCTGAGCTGGTACTCAGGAGGATTTCTCTTACAACACCTGGGTGCTTAGAGACGTTAATTTGGGCTTAAGGCATCCCTCCCTCCCTTTTTCCATCCCCTCCCCTTCCATCCTGCGTGATCATTAACAAGTTTGGGCTCCATGAGTCAAGGAGGTGTGTCACTCAAATGTCACAGCAAAGGGCTAAGGGGAGGAGAAGAGGGGGCAGAAAGAAATGCAACATCCCCCCCCGCCCCAGCTACAGTTACCACAGTCCCCCCAGCAGTTAGAGGGGCAAAGCTGCAAGTGGAGGAAGGCCAAGCGCCACGTGGTGTTCTGGTGGAGCTGGATGGTCCTTAGCAAGCACATGAACCTGTTACCTGTTGGAAAGGACAAGAGGGTGGGGTGTATTCCCACCTGAGAGGTACAAAACACAAAGGTCCCCCTTGTCCTTTGCCTTCAAACCCCAAACCCTCCCCCTTTTCCCAGCCCCTCATCCTCTGCCTGGGTAATGCAGGTAACTGGAGGATGAGGGTGGCTGAGGCAGAGCTGGGCGCTGCTCAGTGGCTTGCTGGGGCCGTGTCCTTCTGCTTTGTAGGACACATAGAGAAAAGCTTGGCTGGTGAGGCTGAGCAATCGCTCCAGGGCTTTGGATGAGGGATCAGAGATGGGGTGTTCTTGCGGTGGGGTGCCACAGCCTTCCATCCTGTGCTGCCCTTGACAGCAGCCCCTTGGCCATCTTCTGCAGTGGACTCCCCCCTTGTAAAGGGCTGAAATCTCATACTTCTTCCCCAAAGAGTCTCTCCCAGTGTGACACTGAGCACCCTGCCCTTCTGCTCCTGGGGAAGATCCAAAGGCAGCGATGGGAGCCCAAACCACAGATCCACCAGTGTTCCAAGAGTATCCTCATCCCTCCTAAAGCATATGGAAGGAAGCAACAAGCCATGAGGTCAGAAACTAGGACAGAAGAGAAGAGGGGCTTTGTGCCACTGGTGTAAATACCAAACACAACTGACTGGGGACAGGTGATCAAAGCACCACATCAGGGCCAGCAGCACCCACCGCCCGTGGAACAGATGACTCCAAGGGTTGTGTGGGGCTGACAGCAGCTCTCGTTCCCATCCAGCTGATCCATGCTTTAAGGGCTGCCTCTGCTTGCGTGGTCCATGGCAGATAAAGATTCCTGGGGTTTCCTCATGTTGGAGTAAACCTCTGAAGTTATTTATTTATTTATTTATTGTTGTGATTCTGTGTTTAATCGTATGTCAGAATGGATGCAGGTGCTCCCTGGTACCAGTATTTATTTATTCCTATTTGTTTTGAAGCAGTAAGTTATTTTGGGATCTGTTTGTTTGTTTGAATGTATCCATGCCACTGGTCTCATGTAAAGGTTTACAGCCCTGGCCCCTCTTGGTGAGGAGTGACGGTCACCGCTGCTGCCAACACATCCCTTTGGCTGCGCTCTCTGGAGCAGGGTGGAGAGGCAGCGGGACACAGGGCAGAGCTGTTGGTCTGTTCTCATGGTAAAATCCAGGGTTTCTCAGTCGATTTGTGACGGATGTGACCACAGAAACGGGTCTGGGACCTCACGGAGGTGACGGCGAGGGTCTGCTCACCGGCTGCCCATGCACTCGGGTGTCTGCGGTGCTGCGAGGGGAAGTCTGAGCCCATCCCTGCTCAGCCCGGTCCGTGCTCACCCGGCTGGGTGCCAGCTGGCTGCTGCTGCTGTTTGCCTTGGCTCCGCACAGCCCAAAACCGAGCGGCTCTGCAGAGGCCCCGCTGCTCCCCCTGGGAGGATGCCATCGCCAGGACTCCCCTGCCCTGTTTATCCACCCATGGAAAAACTAAAGGAATGAGGCTGCGAGCGAGTGAGCCAGGCTGAAGGTGCTTGCAAAATCCCCGCTGTGGTGACAGGACCCAACCGAGCCTCTGCGTGCACGTGGATGCGCGGGTACATGTGCAGGCGTACACGAGATCCCTCAGTGGTGGTATTGACCTTTTAACTTATTTCAGATGTGTAGTACAATGGAACATCACCCTCCCTGTCCGTGGGTTTCCTGTTGCTTTGCCTGAAGCCCGTGAGCTTTTCTGCCTGTGCCTTTTGCCAGCACTCGCTTAGTTTTTAACGTTGTTTTGCTCATTCATTGCTTTCATGGACTTGTGCTCCACATCCAGCATCTCAGCTTGCTGCTGGTGCTCTCTGCAGCGAGCAGCATTCAGCTGCTGGAAAGGCAGCTCAGTGTTGGTGAACCGCTGCTTGCCTGCTGTTGGCCTCATGGGGGATGGCCAGGGCTGGCTGCAGCCTCGAGGCATCAGGGGAACATCTCAGCTGGTTTTTGGAGGCCCCATCTCGGAGGGTTTTGCTTTCCTCAATCACAGGCTCTTCCCCACCCATGATCTTGTTTCCATCCCATAAGCACCCCGCTCGCCTTTCCCTGGCAGAGCACACCACAGCACCCATCCCAAACGTCACCCTGACCCCAGAGCTGTGCTGTTGGTTCCCCATGCTCCTGGGACTACCTTGGGGTTATCACACCGAGCAAGGCTCATCCCACCTCTCCCAACCCCTGCACTGGGGCCAGGCTCAGACAACCCAGCACCATCTCTGCAGGTTTGCTGGACAGCAAAGATAAGGGATGTTCCAGAGCACTGCTGGGTTCTTGAGTCCCAGCATCCCGTTGACCTTTGCTCTGCGTTGACTGCAGCTTTCCTCAATGTCTCTGTTGCTTTGGGGGACTGAATTTGTACCAAACTTGTGTGCAACAGCCAATCACTGTTATTTTGCTATGCATTGTACATACGTTGAACAGGCTGAGAGGGCTTGGCCTCTATTTAATATTTATTTCTTCTATTTATTGAGCATTCCTTTGAAAAAGCTTTTTGGGTCCTGCCATCGGGTCCAGGAAGGCAGGGAGCTTTCGAGGTGCTGCCATAGCGTTAGAGACAGGTTATCAGAGAGGGGGATTAGGGGTAAGTGAGGCTGTCACCAGCATGGAGACAAATCAGGGTCAGCTGGAGCTCAACCGCCAGTGATTCAGAGGGATCTCGTTTAGATGAAGATGAGCGAGGCAGGGGAAAATCCTCCATCTTCTTGGACCAGCTTCTGTTGACAAATCACAGCTGGGCCTCCGGAGGTGACAGAGCCTGTTGTGGTGGAGGAATAATCCCGCTTTTCCTCCTCTGTGCCATGCAGAGATCCCTGGAGATCTCTGATCTCCCACCACTGCCCACGCCCCCCCTTGGCTCTCAACGAGGGACTTGTCACCCTTTCATTGATGTGATAAAAGGGATAGGGCTGCAGTGCTTTGCCAGGCAGCAAGGATGTCGGCCCTGCCCCATCCCCAGGCCCTCATCCTCATGCCATGTCCTGCCTTTCCCCTCCACCTGCAGGCACCCATCCTTGGGGCTATCGGGATGCTTGTGTGACAAAGGGGCAGATTCAGGTGCCTGAGTGATGCCTTTGCCCTTCAGTGCCCACCGGGGTTTTGTTACCTCCTTACCAGAGAACTCTCATGACTTTTGCTGCTACCTGGAAGTTTGCACATGATGGGGAGGGTCTCCGGAGCCCTGCTGCATCCGCTGTTGTGGCAACACATCCACAGTCAAGCATCCAGACTTTTGGGCTCGTGCCCAGAGAACAACTCCCGGAACCTCCCCAGCCCGGGGCAGCTCTGCCTCCGAAACCCAGGAATGAGAGGATTTGGAGCAAACAGGTGAGAAAAGCCGCGAGGGAACCGGTGTCCGTGTGTCCTCACCCGCTGGTCCATTCCCGTCTGCTGCTGTGACCTCATTGTGACACCCCCTTTGCTCTCCATCCAAACGCAGACTGTATTCCTTAGTCTTCCTGGGGTATTCCTGTTGTTAGCCTGGTTAGGAGAAGGGTTCCAATAAAGGCTCAGACAGTGTTTCCTTCTCATCGCAGCCCCGGTGGTCACGTTCCTGTTGGATCCGCGGTGGGATTGGTTTGGGGTCTTTCAGCTGCTCCACAGGGAAGGGCAGGGCTCCGAGGGCCGGCTCCCTGGGGCACTGGGTGAAGCAAGAGCAGTTGTGGGTTGGTGTTTGTGGCAGCTCCCCCTGCCCTTCCCTGCTCCCAACAGGGCACCCAGGAAGGGCCTGGGCACACGGGGGGCAGCGTCCATGGGTCACTGGGAGGAGAAGGGATGGGGGCAGGTTGCTTCGTGCTGCCCGGAGCTGATGCGGTGGGGCCCGGCCGGAGGCTCCTGTGACAACAGGAGCTAAATTGGGATGGCCCAGGGAGGGGACATGTGACTAATTGGGATAAACAAGGTGCCAGGGAGGATTCCTGGCCGGGGAGGGAGCGTGGCCCGCAGCTGTGCAGGGAAATGTGGGGCTGGAGATGCTGGGAGGCTCCTGGAAATGGCAGGACCCTGGAGCTGCCCCAAACCACCCCGGGGCTCGTCCCCTTCCAGCGGGTGCGGAACTGGGGTGATCCCGCCCCCCAGCCAAGCTGAGAGGAGCTGGGCTGCAGGGCCAGGCGGGACAAAGGGGATGGAGGGGGATGCTCTGCCCCCCCACTGGAAGCTGCCTCCTTGCATCCATGGGCGCTCAGCCAGCAGCCAGAACTTCCCCAGGCACCCCCTCAGACCCGAGGGAGACCCCTGTACATGGCGGGGACAAAGGAGCTGATCCCATGGGAGCATCCCTGCCCCACACCAGGGAGCGGCAGCTCGCTTCCCCTGCAGTGTGGCGTCGGAGCAGCGTGATTAATGCCGCTGGAGTGACCATCAGCTGAATTGCAGCGCGGCCTGGGCTGCATGAAAGCTTCCTGCTGCAATTAGCTCCATCAAGTCTATTAGAGAAATTGCAGATGCTGGAGAGAAGGAGCATGAGGCAGAGGCAGGAGGGAGGATGCGGCACGAGGAAGTGGTCCCGTACCCAGCACCACCTTCACTGATCACATCCCATCCTCTGCCGCATCCCATCGCGCACCCAAGCCGTGCCTGGACCACCCCACGGGAAGCCCCTCGCTGGCACCAGGTATGGCCGCTGCGTGCAGGGCCGGGGCCGCCTCTCCCGACGGGAGCTCTCAGGCTCTTCCCACGGCGCTGCCCGCTCCCGCTGCCCTGTAATTAGCGCCGCGGCTGTGATTAACGCCTCGCCCTGCCTGCGCCCGCCGCGGGGCGAGGAGGAGGAGGCTGAGGGGAGGCCGGTGCTGAGCAAGGACCCTGCCCCGCCGCCGCTGGGGTCCGTCTGCTGCAGGGGGATGCGGCTCTGGACAGCCCCTGGAGAAGGGCATCCCTCGGCTTTCCTCCTGCATCCCGCAGTGCAGCGCTGGGCTGCCGAGATGCAGAGAGGGGCTCTTCATCAGGGACTGCAGCGATAGGACAAGGGGTGATGGGTTCAGACTGAAACAGGGGAGACTGAGATGAGCTCTTAGGCAGAAGCTCTTCCCTGGGAGGGTGCTGAGGCGCTGGCACAGGGTGCCCAGAGGAGCTGTGGCTGCCCCATCCCTGGCAGTGTTCAAGGCCAGGTTGGACACAGGGGCTTGGAGCAAGCTGCTCTAGTGGAAGGTGTCCCTGCCCCTGTTGCAGGGGTTGGAGCTGGGTGGCCCCAAGGACCTTTCCAACCCACCCCAGGCTGGGATTCAGTGACTCATGCTCCGGGCCACAAAGGGGTCCTTCCCCTGCCCCAGTGTCCCCAGGCGCCCACCCTCACAGCCCCGCACTGGAGGTGCCCCCAGTGACCCATTTCCCAGTGCAGTGGCTCCGTGCTGGCGCGGGGACTCATGATTTACAGTGCGGGGCCCAGCCCCACCGGGGTATTTTTAACCGGTGACCCTGGGCTGGAGGCAGCCGGCGCTGAGCTCGGGGCTATTTCGGGTGCCTGGGCTGGGCGCAGGGGGCAGCGGGGGCCGGGGCAGCGCGGTGCTGAGGCCGGCGGCAGGGGTCAGCTGCCGCAGCCCGGATTCTCCACGGCTGTTTCATCCTCTCCAAAATACCCGGCTGACAGGGCAGGGATTGCAAAACACCCCCCCCCTCCTCCCAAACCCGTATAAATAGGGCTCGCCCGGTGGCTGGAAGGTTGGAGAAGTTTCTCGGCTCCGAGCTGGGGCATTTATTGCAGGTCTCGGCGAGGAGCGGCAGGGAAAGCCGTCCATAAAGCAGTGAGAGGAGGGGCGCGCTCCTGGACCTTGGGATATTCGGGGCTTTTTGGGGTGTTTGAGTTCCCTCTGCCGCCAAGTTTTGCCTCTCTGCTCCCGGTGCCTGGGATCGCGGCCAGGCAGGAAGCGTTCTCTGGCGGCCGCAGAGCTCCCTCCGTCCTCGCTGCGCTCCTCCGGCTCGCAGCGATTCAGCCCCGCACTGATCCGCGCCTCGTCCTTCCCCTGGTGCCAGGCGAGCAGGGGACGGTCCCCGCGGCACCCGCGTCCCGCCCGGGGTGGATGCGTCTCCTGCGGGGAGGGCTCCCCAGGGAAGTTCGCAGCCAGGAGCAGCCGCGCAGGGGCTGAGGCTCCGGGGCAGAGCCCGGGGGACCCGCGCGGACCCCGCTGAGGGCGGCCATGGCCGACAGCCAGATGCCCTTCTCCTGCCATTACCCCGGCCGGCGCAGCGTCCGCGACCCGTTCCGGGAGCCCGGCCTGACCTCGCGCCTGCTGGACGATGACTTCGGGATGTCGCCCTTCCCCGGGGACCTCACCGCGGACTGGCCCGACTGGGCTCGGCCCCGGCTCACCACGACCTGGCCGGGCCCCCTGCGCTCGGGCATGGCCCGCGCCTCCGCCATGGCCCCCAGCTACGGAGCCCACTTCGGGGGGTACCCCGAGAGCCGCAGCCCCGCGCCCTTTCCCCGCGAGCCGTGGAAGGTGTGCGTGAACGTGCACAGCTTCAAACCCGAGGAGCTCACGGTCAAAACCAAGGATGGCTACGTCGAGGTGTCAGGTGAGAGCGGGGAGCAGGGGGCAGGAGGAGGTCCTGGCTCAGGGCATCGCCTTAATGCACAGAAATCGCCTCTGTTTGAAGCCGGGAGCAGGGCCGGGGCTTGGGGCAGTTTGGGGGTGCGATGGGGGGGGGGGGACCTGGCGCACAAACCGTGGTGGTTTGGTTGCAGAAATGAGAAGGACGAGGCTCCCGTGGGGTGAGCGCGCAGGGAGGCACCATGGCGAGCGGCAGCTGCCAAGAGGGGCCCCGGCTCGGCTCGGTTAATTATAGCTGGGGTGAGGCCGGTGCGGAGGGAGATACCCTTTAAAGGGGCCAAGGGAGAGGCAGCTCCAGCGCTGGGAAGTGGGGGACAGCAGAAAGAGCCCAGCCTGGGGATGAGCCAGCCAGAGACACGTCCCTAACAGTGCGGTTACCGGTGGGGATGGTGCCGGGAGCAGCGGCCCAGCACCCCCATCCTGCATCACCCCGAGCTGGGTCCCCAGGGAGGGCAGCGTGGCTCCTGGCATCACATGGGGACAAACCCCCTGGACAAGGGGATCCGGGCAGCCTGGGTTTGCCTTCAGAGATGCTCCAGGCCCAGGGAGCCCCATCCTGACAGCGCAGTGCAGGGGAGCTTAGCCCGGGGAGCAGGACAAGGGGGATGCTGCAACCTCCAAAGGATTTACTGCATCTGGGGGCTTTTCCTTAAGGCCCAGCTCTTGGCGGGCTGTGAGACCCCAGGCTGCCACTGGAAATCTGGGTGTGCTGTGTCCGGCTTCTCCTGCCCCACATAGGAGAGACTCCTGAAGGGAAGGGTTTGAAGAGGGGAAGGGGAATGACTCCTGTGGAGACTCTGCTGTCAGGTTCCGTTGTTGGGGTGCGGTGCTGACGAGGGGCTCCCTTCCTCACAGGCAAGCACGAGGAGCAGCAGGTGGAAGGAGGGATCGTCTCCAAGAACTTCACCAAGAAAATCCAGTGAGTACCAGCCAGCCC